CAAATGCCCTAGTGGTGCTTTTGCAGAGGAAGTGTGGGAGCCTCTCCTGTCATACTGTCTCCCAAACACACTCTGTCTGCTTGACTGGGTGTGTAAGGTAAGCTTGAGCTCTAGGTGTTACCATATGCTGAGGATGTTTGAGGAAGAGGGAAAGTATAATGTAAAAGAATACACTGAGCTAGCTGTGCAGCAAGAAAATTCCTAATACCTTTAGGTGACTGCGTGAAGCTCACAAGTGACAATTTTTATATAGTGCATTTAGAGTGTATATAACACGGTACAATTATATATATATTATGTTGTGAGTTTATAAGCATTTTTATTACCAATATGCTTAAATGTGCATAACTAGCTTTCATAGTTAATGGAAGCATGCACTGTATTTAAGGTGAAATTTGAGGGTGGAAAGTTCATTCTGTAATACTTGCAATGTGTTTCAGTATCAGTAGGAAAACTAGCAATTGCCTACAATGTCAACAAACCCACCTTCACCACCCTAAGCATATTCAGAAAAGAATTTCAATGTCAGTCAGTACAAGTGGGATTATGATCTGCCTTCTACTTTCTTTTCCACTCCTGCCCTAAAATTATTTCCTAATCTGTCTTTGTAGCCCTTGATCCCTTGCCCTTGCTATGGTAAAACAGCTGTGGAGCTACAGAACAGAGAGGGAACAGAGTTTGGTCTTTTAAGAGCAAGCCTTTTGCTACTGAGGAAAAGAGGCTTGCTACAACAGCCCATGCTCTGTAGTGCTGAAACTGGTCCACTAAAGGACAGGATTGTCTGTCCCAGGACAGGCCCGGGAAGAATTTTGGCCTTCATTCTCAACACAGACCACTCAATTTTTATTCTTCTGTTGCTGCGAGTGCTTTTGCACTCACATATACATTTTCAATCATATTGCATTCATGTCATCTGCATATTTATTTTACAGATCTCTGCAACTTGTCCAGTTTTAACACAGAGCCACAGCCAGCTTTACACAGATATACTTCTCAATAGAAGAAAAGGAAGCTAACTTCTCAGAAAAAAAAATCTACTAAGAATACAATTGTATTATACAATAAAAGTTCAGAATCCCTTTATAGGAAAGACATTTCCTCAACAAATAATTTAAACAAACAAACAAACAAACATACGTAGAAAAAAAACTTCTGTAGTAATTCCTGGAAGCTAAAACCAGTGGAACTGCTTTCACAGATTTAAAAAAAAATGCTCATGCAATTGCATACATATCCAGCAGTTGATCAAACAGAAGGAATGGACAAGAGAGTTGTATAAGAAATAGGAGAGGGATAAGAAAGCAAAGGTCTTAGCAATTTTCTACAAATTGCTATTTGAATCAATTTGGCGAAAACAGAGCAATAGTTGACAGAGCAAGAGTAATGGTTAATTAAATGGTTAAATGGTTAATGGTAAATGGTTAATTAAGAGAGTAATTGTAAGGTAAGCCAAAGCTGAAACCTAAAAGAGGGGTCTTAAGAACCAGAATGGGGATAGTGATGACAGAAACTGAACTACACAACTAACTGATGCACACTGAAAAAGAGAGGAAGTCAGCTGGGTGACATTCCCAGGATATTACCACATACTTCAGCCATCCTCAAAGAGACAGAACTCCAGGTTTGGTCAGAGGAGCCAGTAAGGGTTCTCTAAGGCAACCCATGTTGTGCAGACTATGTAGAGCAGCAACACCTTTTTCATACATAGCAGAGCAGTTCCGCAGGGTTAAGCATCATATTGCATGTTCAGACTTCAGATACATGAAGCAAGACATAGGGTGTTTCCAAAGTCCATCTGCCTTCAGTTAGGCTGTAGAAGTTGCATTTAGGTACGCACATTCAAAAGGCTTGACTTCCAAAAGTATCAATTTCCTGCCAGCACTGCACACAGACTGGGACTCAACCCACCTTATCAAACTACACTTCAGGTAGCAAAACATTGCTACAAAAGGAAAAAAAAAAAAAGAAACAACCCAGAAAACAAATGAGAAAAAGTGTTTTCTTTCATTTTCTACAAACTCATAAACTTAATGTGGCAAAATCAGTGAACGATCTTATTAGAGAAGGATTACAAACTGAAGTAAATGCTTTTTATACATTCATGCTCACTCTCTCACAGCTTTCAATCAGTTCATTCGATTTCATTTACTTTCGTTCAGTTCTTATACTCTCACACCATACTCTCACTTCTACCATCACAAACCCAGCTGGTCTGGCCAGGATCTGTGTTGTGTATAACACAAAGGAAATGGATGGCTGCAATCACATCCCTCTATCACCATCACTTTATTTATTTATTTATTTTCTCAAGTTGCAGTTGTGTTTTGTAGAAGTACTGGGTATAAAAGCTAGTGGGACCCAGCACTTACCATGGTGTCATTCTTTTGCCTGCTTGCTGTGTTTCTTTGTTTTGAATTTCCTAAGATACAGTCCTCCTTCCATCTTGGACTAACAGGAGAAGAAGCAGCATTTGTTATGTGGTGTACCTTGTGTCATTCTGCAGCGGCCACACTGCAGGGTCTCCTGCTGATCAGTTTTCTGCACTATAGAGGGCAGGCCTTCCTGGCTCAAGAGAAACATTGCATTTCTCAGTTCTACTACTGGAAGCTGTTTCTTTGGTTACCATTACAGATCATGCGTGTTCTGTTTTTATTTCTGATGCTTGGGCGCACCCATTTCATTCATACCAATCTTAGTATTTCTATTACAAGTCTCTGTAAGTTGACTCAACTTACGAAGGAATCACATGAATACCAGAACCAGTGCAAACAAGGAGATTTTACAGCTGAAAGGACAGCAGAAATAATAGAGGTACAGAGTCTGCATTTTCTAGCAACATCAGCTCACCTATTTTTTATGGTTCTTAACTTTATGAAAATGGAACAGAATCACTCACAGCTCTGTGAAAATAGCACTGACCTGGGACTCCCTTATACCACCATCCCTTCTGCCTTACCTGCCTTATGTTGTTTCATACAAACAGGTACTGCTTGAATAATAAAATACTGAGGAAGGCAAGTATTTTGCATTTGCATTTGCAAAACAGTATACCAATAGACAGGTAAATACAGTAATTTCTTTGTTTTCTCCTAGGACTGATCGAAAACACTCCTAAAGTAAATTTCTGGGCAGTGCTTACAAAGGTGGAATCTGCAGCAGCTTTTTGCTTGGACTTCACTTTAGTTTCTCACTTCATAGATGTTAAATTGTTCCCCCAAAGTACTCAGTCAAGTGCCATATAGTTCAGACTTCTGGGTGGATTAATGTACAAATGCTCAGGGAATGAGCTAGAAAAACACACACACACAGGCAGAAGAAAAATAAGCATGACCAAAAGTATTTTTTTTAATGCCTGATTCATGATTTTTCTAGCTTCTGGAGCCTACAACAAAAATTGTGGCTCGCTGCCTAAATTATTTTCTACCTTTGCAGTCAGTCTTAAAACTATGCCAAGTGTGGATCTGAGTTTTATTATCCTAGGCAACCTGATAATGTACTTATCCATGTCTAGAACATAAAACAGCCCAGAACAATCAATTTAATTTACTAAAACTTCGACCAATATGCTCTATCTATACCCTTTCTGTTGTTTTCTCTAAATTACTTAATTTGTTCAAGTATCATAGCAAGAAGGCAAATGCAGGACGTTATCCCATTAAAATATGCCATCTTTCTATGGAATATGCCATTTGCCATGGAATATGCCATCTTTCTATAGTCTTCCATTGAAGAAAGATAGAGCAAGACCAGAAAATAAACACATCAGTCAGTTCTCTGAAGTGTTTTTATGAACCGAACAGCAAATGCCGACTGTCTTGTTGACTTTGTAGTTTTGCATGCCTTTCAGATTAAACACTAGCACCAAGCAACACAAGTGCCAATTCCCTTTACTTTTAAGGTTAAGTTTCTGATACAGGGGAATCGGTTGATTCTCTACTATCTACTAAGCCTGCATTG